GGGAGCCACATGGGATTGGAACACTGCAAATGAAGATTATAATATTTTTCCAATTTCGGATGAGGAGCAAGAAAATGAAGGCATGGAGCAGCCCATTTCTTCACCAACATCACCTTCACCACCATCAATTCAATATCAATCAAGTCCATTATCATCAAGTTCAAGTGACACACCACCACTTCGCATGAGGAGTCTTCGTGATATATATGGCGAAACGGATGAGGTAACGGAAAGGTTAGGTGACCTAACACTTTTTTGTTTCTTTACGGATTGTGAACCCGTAGGATTTGAAGAGGCGGCACAAGACAAAAAATGGAGAATTGCTATGGATGAAGTAAATCCATAGAGAAGAATGACACATGGGAGCTTGCTACACTTCCAAAAGAGCAAAAGGCAATTGGTGTCAAATGGGTGTATAAAGCAAAGAAGAATGCAAATGGTGAAGTTGAAAAATATAAAGCAAGTTGGTTACTAAGGGGTACAACCAAAAGCCCGGAATTGACTATGATGAGGTATTTGCACCCGTAGCTCATTTGGAAACAATTAGATTATTAATTTCTTTAGCAGCCCAAAACAATTGGAGAATCCACAAAATGGATGTGAAATCGGCTTTCTTGAATGGGTTTCTTAAAGAAGAGGTGTATGTTTAACAACCCATGGGCTATGTTGTAAAGGTACAAGAAAATAAAGTCTTGAAATTGAAGAAGGCTTTATATGGCTTGAAGTAAGCACCAAGGACGTGGAATAAGGGGATTGACAAATATTTTCAAAATAATAATTTTTCAAAGTGCCCATATGAACATGCTCTTTACTCCTAAGTAAGTGAGAATGGAGATATATTTTTTGTTTGCTTGTATGTGGATGATTTAATCTTCACAGGTAGCAATCCAAAAATGTTTGAAGATTTCAACAAGGTTATAGCTCGAGAGTTTGAGATGACGGATATTAGCATCATGGCTTATTATCTTGGCATTGAGGTCAAGCAAATGAAAGATGAAATTTTCATTCACTAAGAAGGCTATGCTAAGGAAATTCTTAAGAAATTCAAATAGAAGATTGTAAATTGGTGAACACGCCCATGGAAGTTGTAATTAAATTGTCAAGAGATGAAAATGGAGAGACGGTGAATCCAACATTTTTCAAAAGTCTTGTTGGAAGCTTGAGATACTTGACATGCACAAGGCCAGACATATTATTTGCAGTTGGGCTTGTTAGTAGGTTTATGGAAAGACCCACCATAACTCATTTCAAGGCGGTTAAGAGGATTCTTCGTTACATCAAAGGTACCCTTGATTTTGGGTTATTCTATTCATTTTCTAATGATTTCAAGCTTGTGGGTTATTGTGATAGCGATTGGGCCGGAGGTTTGGATGATAGAAAAAGTACTTCGGGCTATTGTTTTTTCATGGGAAATACTGCTTTTACATAGTGTTCAAAGAAGCAACCCATTGTCACCCTCTCAACTTGTGAAGCGGAATATGTTATAGCCACTTCATGTGTTTGTCAAGCAATTTGTTGAAGAAATTACACTTGCTACAAGAAGAGTCAACGGAGATTTTTGTGGACAACAAATCAGCAATTGCTTTTTCCAAGAATCCGGTGTTTCATGAACGAAACAAGCATATTGATACAAGATTTCATTTCATTAGAGAATGCATAACCAAGAAGGAGGTGGAGCTCAAGTTCATCAAGTCACAAGATCAAATTGCGGATATTTTCACCAAGCCCCTCAAGTTTGCAGAATTTCACAAGTTAAGAAGTTTGCTTAGAGTTGAAAAAAATCAAGTTTGGAGGGGGGGGGGGGGGGGGGGGGTTGAAATTAAACTTGATTATATTTTTAAATGTCTTTGAAGGTTATGGATGTTTTTTATTTGATATTTAATTTTATATTTATGTGAATTTTTTATCGGAGTTAGTGGGGGCATTAGAGTTACAACTAGTAATGGTCATGTTAGTGGGTTAGTGGGAATTATGCTTACTAAATGTTATGTTAGTGGGGTGTTAATTTTTATTTAAACTTGATTATATTTTTAAATGTCTTTGAAGGTTATGGATGTTTTTTATTTGATATTTAATTTTATGTTTATGTGAATTTTTTATTGGAGTTAGTGGGGGGCATGAGAGTTACAATTAGTAATGGTCATGTTAGTGGGTTAGTTGAAATTATGCCTACTAAATGTTATGTTAGTCAGGTGTTAATTTTCATTTACATTTATGTTTTGAAGCTTATATAAACCCATGCATTATACCCATTTTCAATCAAGTGAAATAAAAAGTGTTTTCCTCTATTTTTATTCTCTTCCAAATAGTGTAGTGTTGTGTGTAACTAGGCCACTATTTCCAATAGCTTCAACGATGCTTCAACAAGGCAGCGCAAGGAGTCCTTCCTAACCCAGCTATACCTCTAGCTTGTTTTTCAAATATGAAAAAGCAACTAGCTGGCCAGAAACAAGCGGGCACTACTGCATAGAACCTGCTACAAAACAGCCCGTTCAGTCGTGCACTTGCTGCTTTTTTAACTGGCAAAAGTCAACTAGCTGAAGCCTGAAGGTTTCAATCTGGGACAATGTGATCCTGCCCACTCGTCCAAACCTCACATAATTATAATAGTATTCACTAAAAATTCATTTTCTTTGAATTATAATAAAAATTTGCATATGGGTGCATTTTAGTCTCTACGTGCAATGTCGAAAATATTCACAACTGCTAACCACGCTCTCGGGTATATTACTAACAGTAGTTGACCAAAAATTAACATAATATAATACGTTAGTATCTCTGGGTGAGGTGCTCTGCTAGCCAAGTTGGTAGATATAATACATATATAAATATAGTAATAACATGTTGTATTGAAATTTTGAAAGCAAGACTTTTAAAGGGTCACAAGTTTTCTTGCAAAAGAATTACCATTAATAACTATAAATTAGTCGCTAGTCCACAAAAATGTTTGTTAAGGGCTAGTCAATATATAAAAATGTCAGCCATAAAAGTTTTTTCGAAGACACACTGCAACGACTTAGAGGGGACGCTGTTGTTTTGCAACTTATTTTATCATAATTAAGTGATTGCACTTTTAGGGAAAAAAAAATAAAATTAAGTAATTGCATTTTGCTATTAACTAATTTAGCATATAATATATGTTCGTGTGATTAAGGAATTGCATTTTGCTATTAACAAAGCGCTCCATTGACAGAAACAAAAAAACAAGGTAGTTGTGGTACATGTTGTAATGTAATCAATGAAAACTGAGGAAAAGTGCATTAATTCAAGAAAATCAAAGAGAAATTGTCAATCGAGATTATCATATGTCTTATGTAGGCTAAGTCACATAAAGTGGGAGCGGGAGCAGGTGAGAGAGCAAATTCGAGAGCGGCAAAATTATGTCATAAATAGTGAGAATTTGAATAAAAGTGTGCGCGGAGTACGAAAGCGATACCTGTTAAGAAAGATTGCGTGACTTAGTATGTAAGTCTATTTTGACGATACATCTAGGTGAGTGCAAAGTGTATGCTTTTGTGGAGGAAACTTCAGCCTTGTCAATATCTAATGATCCTGATGTTATCAAGCTGACCCCAGTGATTCTTTTCCTGTTTAGTCTATTATGTATGCTTTTTGTGGAGGAAACTTGAGTTTTGATCACTAAGGGCAAGCCTTAATGCTTGACTTCTATGTGTTGAAGAAGATGTTCCTCAATCTTACTTGGGCTTCAATAAGTGATGATGAGTGCCTTCTCTTGCCGTCTCAGTGCAACATTGATTGGATCACTGTCAAGTTTGTTTTGGCAAGATATATACAAGGTTTGTCAACTTGGATTTTAGAACTCTATTTGTGATGTCACTGAATGTGATCCAAGGTTTTCAAGGCAGTCTTTAGAAGTCTCAATTTGGTAGTTACTCTTAAGTCTTAAAATAGGAATGCTACTCACACTAGGGTTCCAAATTCTAGCTACCGTGTCCATGAAATCAGGGTGTACAGCCAAGAAATTAAAAATTTTGAAAGGGAAATTTCTACCTTGATTAGGGTTTCCAGGATCACGCTAGTCATAGGACAATGATCAGAGCAAAGGGGAGGTATGAACTGACATGATGCCGGAATTTGGGAAAAAGGCAAGCCAGTTGGTATTAATTACAACCTTATCCAATTTTATTATTATTATTATTATTTATTATTATTATTTATTTATTTATTTATTTTTGCAATGGAATCATGGCCCTGAGATTTGTTTGAGAGCTGAAAAATAATGAATTCATAAACTGTAAATATATATTTTTAAAATGCTAAACAAACTCTCATGGTACTCGTGACTCCACCGAGGCTGAAACTCATGACCTATCCCTTTGGAAGATAGATTTGTACCAACTGGACTATAAACCTTTTGGTAAGGCATGCTTAGATTAAGGATATCAGATACCTGAGTTTCTTTATCTCATGGATAATGAATAATAGAAAATTGAATAGCTCTCTCTTATTCGGGTTCTTCTGCCTTGGATTAAGGACTTTTTAACATTGAAGAAATTTTGTAGCAAAAACAGAAATGATAAATTTTGCAAACCTGATAATTCACTAATGGATAACTGGATACCAGATGGGGAGCAGAGAGATCCAACAAACTACAGCTACACTAACTGCTGGAAATAAATATGAAACTAGAAAGCAAGTAAAGTACATGAAATAACCTTTACGCAAAAAAAAAAAAAAAAAGTACATGAAATAAAATAAAGCTGCATTGTTGAGATGTGCGGAGAGACTTCTTCATTCTTTAGTTCCTTCATACGTACTAGTCCTCCAACATAGAGTGACGTAATTCTCTCGCAGCTGATCATGCCTCGACAAATTTTCACTTAGTTTCGTGTTTTTATTCCACTAAAATTTCTTAAATTTATATTTTAATATCAGAATACAAAGGCGATAATCACATTTGTAAAGATGACTTTGGGACTTCCCCCGAGTACTCCCAGTCCCGGCCTGAACCACTCATCAAGGAACCTCTTTACGTCATTTTAAAAGTCAACAGCTACTGCAAGGTATGCGTCCATGAACCAACTTAAAGCATTCAGAAGAAAGAGGGAACAGATGACGATTACACTGATAGCAAGGACCAATGAATGTGCCATCACAACATAAAAGCCAGTCATAAATGCAACCACCATTGCTCCAATAGCGCATATAATGGTTGCAAGAGCGTTGCGAAAGCCATTAGCCCGCTTATCTTCATCTTCATAAGTGGATGCAGATATGTGCGTAAATAGAGCTTTAATGGAAAAGATCATAGCAATAGCATCCGCCACAACAAATACTTTGAAAGCTGCTCGTCTTATTAAAACTGCCATACCTTGATTTGGCCCATCGTTACCATCATAGGCACCTTGTTAAAAATAAATTAATGCCATGTTTATTATGCATTTTGGGTTTATTCATGTATTGTTATTGTACATGTATTAAAAGGGTACATATATCAAGTGACTGCATACATCATATGTGTGGTTGAGAATTGTCTTGGAAAGTAGGGGTGTTCAAATAATCCGCTAATCCGTCAAACCGATCCGAACCAATCCGATTCGTACGGTTCGGTTCGGTTTTTTGATCTAATAGTTTGGCGATGGTTTTAAAAATCAGCAATTCGTAATGAACGGTTCGGTTAACGGATTAAACCCTGAAAAAACCGAACCGATCCGATCCGTGAATTATTTTATATTATATATAATATATATATATATATATATATATATATATATATATATATAATTATATGTATACTGTGATATATTATTTCTATTTATTTATTTTTTATTCATTATTTGTTTTTAAAATTCAGCCCTATATCTTACCCTAGTTTTCTAACATAACATCTGATTGTGCCGCCTCTCAGTCTGTTTCTCGACTCTCTCTTCCTCAGTTCCTCATCCCCAGAAGAAACCATAAGATTTGAAATCTTACAAATCTTCATCATAAGGTACACAATCTCTCTCTACTTTCTCTCTCCATCACTCATCCCTTCCTAGGCCCAATCTCTCTCTTCTTTCTCTCTCTTCAAAATTTCAGCTTAGTATTGTATTTGGGAGGGCCAATGATCGAAGACATCAGTGAATAACAAACCGTCTCGATTGTGATCGTTGATGCTGAACGACGACGATACCCGAGCTCGGCGATCTCCACCGTCTGATCCGACGGCCGTGTTAGCTTTGGATGAAGCCATAGGGGCCGATTTGCCTTGGGTCTGAACCTGTAGTCTCTGGCTAACGTTCCAAAGTCATCCGTTGATGCCTTCTTTATTTTCTTGTATTCAAATTATAATAACAGTGGATCAGATCTGAGTGAAATTGCAGTTCATAGTAGGTCAATCAGAGAGTTAAAGAAAACCCATCTATGTTATATATATCTATATCTATATATAGAAGAATAAATTAGGAAATTCAGTCATGGTAAGGTCTTTGAAAACCTTTGTATATATATCTATGTCATTTGGCTTTTGTAATTAAATGCTTAGATCTGATTTACATCTGTTGCATGTTTGAATTGGTGTGTACAAACAATTTCTATGTTTTTTGTGTTTTGTTCTTTGTTGACATGGTTGTTTTGTTTGAGAAATCCTAATCCGTGGAACCGAACCGAACCAATCCGTTACTTCAAGGATCGGTTTGGTTCGGATTGAGAGTCCCTACGGATCGGTTCGGTTTCAGATTTAGCCAATCCGTGAGGACCGGATTGGTTTGAATTATACCCAAAACTGAACCGAACCGATCCGTGATCAGCCCTATTAGAAAGTTCAAAGGTCTATGGGAGAATAGTATATATAGTGTAGGGATTTGTTGTTAAGAGATATCAACACGACAAAAAATTCAATACAATACAATATTTGTTTCTCTCCTCTCTTCACTTCGAAATTATTTAGTTAGTTGAAACTACAGCAAACATAAGTGGTATCAGAGCTTGATTTCGATCAAGAGCAAACTGGGCGTGAAGCTTATTGACGGGAAAACAAAACCAGAAGAAGATTGATTGTAATGGCGACCACAGGCAATCAAAACCAAGGTGCCCATCAATCAGCAGTTCCCATTTTTGATGGGGAAAATTATGATTTTTGGTATGTGAAGATGAAGACCATTTTTCTCTCATATGATTTATGGGATTATGTTGAAGATGAGTATGATGAACCAAAGGATACAACAACTTTGACGAATGCCCAAAGACAACAATTGAAAGATCATAAAAAGAAAGATGCAAAAGCTTTAGGCTTGATTCAACAAGGAGTTGCCGATACAATCTTTCCCAGAATTATCAATGCTTCTAAAGCAAAGGAGGCATGGGATATTCTCGAGAAGGTATAGAGGCAGCACGAAAGTAAGAATTGTAAAACTCCAATCTTTGAGAAAAGATTTTGAAAATATGAAAATGAAAGAAATGGAGTTGTTGAAAGATTATTTTTCTAAATTTATGGAGGTGGTAAATCAAATGAAGACCTATGGGGAAGATATTTCTAATCAAAGAATTGTTGAAAAAATTCTAATTAGTTTGCCAGAAAAATATGACTCGATTGTTACTGTTATTGAAGAGACTAAAGAGCTTGAAAACTTGAGTGTTGAAGAATTGATTGGTTCCATAAAAGTATTTGAGGAAAGGTTGAGTAGGCGCTCCGAAAAGACAATTGAAAGTGCTTTTCAATCCAAACTCAATGTTAGTTCCAAAAATCAAGAAAAATACCCATCAAGTTTTGATCGATCCAAAGGTGAATCTTCTAGAGGTGGAAGACACGGAAGAGGAAGAGGAAGAAATAATTTTGAGAGAAGTAGAAATATAGAGTCCACTCAACAAAATTGTGGAATTTGCAAGAGAAGTAGCCATGTTGACAAAGATTGTTGGTTTCGGGGAAAACCTCAATGTTTCAATTGCAAGAAATTTGGACATGTTCAAAAAGATTGCCGGTTGAAAACAAATCAGCAAGCTAATTTTTCCGAAGAGCAAGAAGGTGAAGCGAGCATGTTTTATGCTTGTCACTCGACATCGGAACAAAAGGATGATGTGTGGTTTCTTAATAGTGGGTGTAGTAACCACATGACCGGAGATAAAAACATATTCTTGGAGATTGATTCTTCATCCAATTCTCAAGTGAGGATGGGAAACGGTGCCTTAGTCCAAGCAAAGGGAAAAGGTACTATTGCCATAGAGACAAAAAAAAGGAAGAAAGCATATTCGGGATGTGTTACTTGTTCCGGATTGGAGCAAAATTTGTTAAGTGTTGGACAGCTTGTAGAGCATGGGTACTCCATTCATTTTGATGGGGACTTTTGCAAAATTTATGACAAGGGAGGACAAAATCATATTGTGGCAAAAATCAAGATGGGTAAAAATAGAAGCTTTCCTCTCACTTTTTCATGTTAAAAAAATATGGCCTTGAAGATGGATGTTTTTGATGAGTCATGGCTTTAGCATAGAAGACTTGGCCATTTGAATTTCCAAAACTTAAAGAATTTACAACAAAATAGCATGGTGTATGGGTTGCCAACAATACAAGAAGTTAAAGAAGTTTATGAAGGCTGTGCTCTTGGCAAGCATCACCGACAGTCATTTCCGAAAGAGAAGGCATGGAGGGCTAAAGCACCATTGGAGCTTGTTCATACTGATGTGTGTGGATCGATGACAACACCAACTCAAGCGGGTAACAAGTATTTTATTATTTTCGTTGATGATTTTTCAAGAATGACATGGATTTTTTTCATTAGACAAAAATCAGATGTGTTCTTTATTTTCAAAAAAATTCAAAAGCTTGTTGAAAGGTAAAGTGACCATCTTATCAAAGTGTTAAGAAGTGATAGAAGTGGAGAGTACAACTCAAATGAGTTTGAAAAGTTTTGTGAAGATATTGGCTTGGAGAGGTAATTAACGGTTGGGTACACTTCACAACAAAATGGAGTGGCAGAAAGAAAAAATAGAACAATTATTGAGATGGGAAAATCAATGCTTCATGAGAAGGGGCTACCTAAATCATTTTGGGGTGAAGCCGCATATATGGCTGTTTACTTGATGAATAGGAGTCCAACAAAAGCGGTGGAGAATAAAACTCCATTTGAAGCATGGAGTGAAAGGAAGCCATCATTGAACCACTTGAAAGTTTTTGGGTGTATTTGTTTTACTTATGTTCCAAGAGAAGTGAGGCACAAACTTAATGAAGCTAGTGAAAAATGCATCTTTGTGGGTTATAGCTCAAAATCAAAGGGCTATAGACTCTTTAATTTGAAGAAGAATAAATTGATTATTTGTAGAGATGTTATCTTTAATGAGAAGGCTGCTTGGGATTGGAAAGAGAAGAAAGTTCAAAATCAAATTCCCATTTTCAATGAAGAATCAGAAAATCAAGAAAGTGAAAATGAAGATTTTCTTGAAGTTCCACAAGCAATGTCTCCTGTATCTAGCTTACAATCAATCCCAACTTCTCCATCAAACTCAAATTCCTCATCTCCAAGTTCAACTCCAAGAAGAATGAAAAGTCTTCGAGATGTGTATGCAAGTTGCAATTTTTGTGTTATTGAGCCGAAGAGGTTTGAAAATGCAATTAAAGAAGTGGCAAGGAAGAAATTCAAGAAGAAGAGGAAGAGGATGAGATTCAAATCAAGTATTGCAAGACTGAAGACCAAGATACGGACATCTTCACCAAAGCACTTCCAAGAGATCAGTTTGAATACTTTAGAGAATTGTTGGGTGTCACAACATGGCATTAAGGGAGGTGTGTTAAAAATAAATTAATGCCATGTTCATTATGCATTTTGGGTTTATTCATGTATTGTTATTGTACATGTATCAAGAAGGTACATGTATCAAATGTGTGCATGTATTAAGTGAGTGCATGTATCATGTGAGTGCATGCATTATATGTGTGGTTGAGAATTGTCTTGGAAAGTTTAAAGGTCTATGGGAGGATAGTATATATAGTGTAGGGATTTGTTATTAAGAGATATCAACACAACAAAGAATTCAATAGAATACAATATTTGTTTCTCTCCTCTCTTCACTTAGAAATTATTTAGTTGGTTGAAACTACAGCCAACACACCTGGTATGGCGAAACCAGCTGCAAAGGCTGCGGCTGCTACAAGTGTAGCTACGATCAAATTGTTGTCCGAAATTTTAGTAGCCAACTTGTTTAATCGCTCAGAGTCGTTTCTTTGTATAATTTGAATTTGTTTCGGTAACGCACCGGTACCTGCGTTTTTCTTCTTTGATCAACTTGAAAACAACAGTACTGATTCTATTGCCAAATTTTGCTAGTCATGAAAATTTGAGCAAGTGTAACTTAGTACAAGATACTTTTACCTGTAAATTCACACCTTATCAAGATTAATGCATTGGCACAACACTTGGGATCAATTTAACAACTATGACATGAACTTGTGTGCAACCAAATTTACTGTACTGGTGCTCTTATACCCACAATCATTGTATAAACAAATTTTTTATAAGAAAGTTATCGTATAAACTTTTCATCTACACGTCATATCAGCACATGAATGGGAAGCATTGAATGGGAACTACGTACTAGAATGGTACCAAGTCATCTTACTTTAAAGAGTAGACTTCCCTGGGTGATATATTTCAGTTATATCTATTTCCCAAATTGTGAAGCACACACTAATATAATACGAAACTTCTTTTGTGAGACCCAAAATAGTAATATTGTCTCATTTCAATTCACAAAGTAAAACTGATGAAATAAGGTCATGTGATCACATTAATTAACTGTTTAACTGCTGAAACATCACCAAACCATGCAGCATAGTGAAGTGGTCTCCATCCATATACGTCTCCTTGCTTGATTAGTGATGACTTCTAATCATGTAATTTTTTTATACATTCTGAAAGAGAACATTATATTAGCAACTCATAGTAACTAGCAAGTAAAAATAAAACATTACTATATAAAAGTAAAAACAAAACATTTTAGAAATTGCTTTTTCCTTACTAAAACATAATATATAATTCGGATTTTGCTTAATTAATTTTATTTATATTTATTTATTATTTTTTTATGCTGTTATGACAAGATGTGAATGCCTACTTCAAAATAAAAACTCCGACTCTTGTCACAAAATTAATTTGTGTTAATTTCACACATTTGAGGATTTTTTTTTTTTTCCTGCAAACTAGCAAAACAGATGAAGAAAATATTTAGTTTTAGTAGCTACCTAGGTCATAAGAAATTGTTGCCGCGTGTAAAGTTGTTTGTCCATTTGGACCCGTGTAAGGTTTTGATGAAATGTATCCTCTTGAAAAGAAAACAGTATTTGGACGAATGTATGCTTTTAAAATGATATTTTCCAAAATTTTGGACAGAATAGAAAGATGACGTCCTTGGGCAGCCAGGTAAAGTGGAGTCTCCTTAACTTTGTTGGGTGGATGTAAAAACTTAGGGTCTTCTGCCTTCAAAATTGTAACCACATCAAGATGATTATTTCGAACAGCCTCGTACAAGGCCGTCTCATCCTCCGCATTCCTCATCCTGAGCATCTCCATTGTAGCTCCACTCCAGCTTTCGGGGTCCTCTTCCAATGATTTCGCATACTCAATGAGTGCTTGTACTGTGGCGGTGTGTCCTTCCCTTGCTGAAATGTGAAGACAAGTCTCACCTCTGACATTCACAGAACAAAGCAGTGAGTGACCGCAGTTCTGTAAGATCTCTTTCACACATTGTGTTTGGCCGAATTGAGCTGCGATGTGGAGGACTGTGTTTTTGTTGGGGGTCACCTGGACTTCAAGTTGATCAACTCTTTGTATGAGGAAATCAGCATTTCCCTCTTTGGCTTCGTTGTATAAGACTGGATCCATAGCTATATGCGACTGGTTTCTGCTTGGCCTCTCAGTTTTCAGCCTGCTTTAGCTTCCTCAACCCAATTATTCACTTTCCCAGTTCACTTTGGGCGTCGTTGTTGTTGCAACTGTTGAATTTTAAATAAATTAAAAGTACACAACTTGTTCAAAAGAAGCATTTTATACAACCAACTTGTTGTATTTCTACAATATCAAATGAAAAAGGGACAGTACGTTGAAGTATAGCTTGGTCCAAAAGGAATTAGTTGAATATATAGATTTCTAAGCAATAGGGGCTAAAGGATGACCAAGAAATAAAGTATACATCATAAAATTGCTTCAAATTAAGATATGTTGTGTTTGGAATGTGAATCTATACTTTCAAATTAGAATTAAAGAAAATTTAATTTAGAATTTGTACTCAATTTTTTTCAATCCTAAAAAATATCGAAATTCAGATCAAATTGCAATTAATTGAAGAAGCTGACTTGTATTTTTAAAGCAAGCAGATTTAATAGGCCACAAAGAGTCTTAAGCTAATTTAAAGAATTGATGCTTAAGAGATTTTTTTATTTATTTTTTTTTTTTCAAAGTTTAGATAGATGTTTAAAATATTCACCCACAATGCAAGGGAATTTAACTAAATTACATAATTGTGCCAATATTGTGCCCGATATATGTTAATTAATCTTAACCTTATGCTAAAGCATAAAGATACAATGCTTTTCTTACTTCAAAATATCATATTATGATGAATTTTCTATTAAATTTTTTTTAAAATATAAAGCGTATTTCCTATGAAAATCTATGGTTGTAATAGTATAGGTGGATTATTTTGCTGTAAATAGTTTAATATTTTTGACAAATAATATTGTTTCAAATAACATTTTTTTTTACTAAACACAAATTATATTTTCACCAAGGATCAAATGGAAAAATTATTTTTCTCGTGAACAAATAAATTACCTTTTGGTTGAAAGATGGACTCTTTTTTTTTTTTTTTTTTTTTTTTTTTTTTTTTTTTTTTTTTTTACCATACCAAATTAATGTTATTATTATTTATTTTATTCTTCTTGGCTAAATATGTAAAGTCAGTTATTTTTCCTCTCCTTACTGTGTGTGGGTTTTTGCTGCTGTGGTTGTAATTTGACGTTTTAGGGTTGCTTTGGAAGGTCATGGGGGTTTTAAATAATTTTAAATGAGTAGATTAAAATCCGGGAATGCATAATTTGTGCTCTTATGCTAATAACTTGAACAATATGAAATTTTAATGAAATTGACATATTGTTAATGGATAATGTCATTGCTTAATATAATTTAGGCAATTTAATTGGATAATATGTGATTTTTATCTTGTAGTAGCAGTATAATATAATCATGAATTGTTTCTGATGTTGTTATACTAAAGATTAATTGGTATGAAATTTTAATTAAATTTGCATATTGATAATGGAGGATTTAATTGCTTTGAACTATTTCAACAAGTTAAATGGAGATTATATGATTTTAATCTTGTGTTGGTTGCATAATATGAATCTTTATATCTGATTATTATTATGTTTATTTCCGGATTTATTGATGTATTGTTTTATTTCTTTCATTAATAATTGGATTGTATGGATGTAACGCACCGATATAGGACGGTGGCATTCTAGGAACGGATTAACTTATCAATTAAGTCCTACCTATTTTTATGTAAAGGGATAGATTACCAAAAGAATGTTAAGTCCTACCTATATTCAAGTTAGGTCAGCTAAACAAGTTGAATGGCTTATAGAGGATTATTTGTAGAGGATTAATTATAGAGGATTACTTATAGAGGATTAATTATAGAGGATTACTTGTAGTTGGATAGAATAGATTATATATATATATATATATATATATATATATATATATATATATGATTATGATGCCATGATATGAGCTTGAGTCTCAGGATCATGGTTAGGGTGCGTATATTGCCAGGGATGTGTAGCTGGATATAGTGATTCGTTATGTGCCCTGTTAGGTCTAGGTACTCATGCCCACTATATGTGTGTTTTGCATGTTGCTTACTATTTAGGTTGAGGTCGCCCTAATCCAGTGAGGTTCCTTAATGTGTGTGTATATATATATAAACTACTAGTTATTGTTGGATTGACTAGGATGTATACGTGTATCGGATCTCTGCTTGGATTGTAGTAGAGTAGAACTTGTTTGTCGGTCTGTCCTACCATTATTTTTCAGGTGTTATCAGGAGTAAATGTTGTTCGTGCTGAGCAGGGATCAGTCTACTTCACTCTTCTGGATTATCTTTGTTCGTGCTGAGTAGGGATTAGTCTACTTCACTCTTCTGGATTATCTATATAGGAGTTTCCTTCATGTTTCAGTGTTCTGATGTACACTGTTATTGCGGTCACTTGTTCAGTTGGGATTTTCTAAAGGTCCACATAGTATGGATTCCCGAGTTGTATTATTATTGGAGGTTTGGATGTATCAGAATATTTTATTATTTATAAAAATTTATTCAGAGGATTTTATTAAAGGATTATCATTTAAGTTTCTTTTCAGTATTTTATTTATTCTGGTTTGTTATATTTGTATTCTGTGTTCGATCATCACTGACTTGTTTTGATATTCTCGGGTATTCGGGCGTGGACCTAGCCAACTTGCATTCGAAAATCCGGCGGTATCACATTTGCAGAATCAATGAGTGTTTGTACTGTGGTGGTGTGTCCTTCCCTTGCTGAAATGTGAAGTGAAGTCTCACATTTGATATTCACACAACAAAATAGTGATCCATTGCACTTCTGTAAGATCTCTTTCACACATTGTGTTTGGTCAAATTGAGCTACGATGTGGAGGACTGTGTTTTTGTTAGGGGTCATTTGGACTTCTAGTTGATCAACTTTTTTCATGAGGTCACCAACATTTCCCTCTTTGGCTGCCCTGTATAAGATTGGATCCATAGATATAAGCGTTTGGTTTCTGCTTGGCCCTATCAGGTTTCAGCCTGCTTTAAGAAACCTGGAGTAGTTTTGTCCAATTATTCACCTGCCCAGTTGACTTTGGGCATCGTCGTTGTCAGTGACGAACTCAGAAAATTTTGTAAGGGGGGCAATCTTTTAATTTGTGAGGGAAAATGGTGGTAGCGGTCGTCGCACTCCAAAAGTCTATGCAAATGTAGCCAAGTTTTACATTTATAAATTGCCACTACTACCTTTCTCTAAAAATATAGTTAGGGTGAGTAGGGATCGTCCCAAGGGATTGAGTGTCGTACTAGGTTGAGGAATCAAAATTAGGATTAGTAGGTTGAATGATAAAAATAGTGGTTGGTTGGTTGAGTTAAACTAGATGCAAATTAAACTAAAGTAAGCTATAATGCAATAGAGAGAATAAAAGAGAGAGAGAGAGAGATCTTGGGGTTTAGAGATCACCACTAAGCATAGCCTTTCTACACCTTTAATGAATGACTAATGAGGGGAAGAACATGTATTACAACAAAGTGTGTGTGTGTGGTTGTTTCAACAAGTATGGATGAAAAATTAAGCATATATTGTCTAAACAATATGGTGGATAGCACAATATATCAAATTAAGTCATTAATCATTTCTTTAAGCTCACAATCCAAACACATCACAAGGTTAGAGATACATGCTACTTGCTTTCATAAGTATGAAACATCAACAAGAAGCATGGATTGTCCTCCCATTTAATAACTCCACTACAACTAAGCTAATGGCATGAAATTAAATTAAAGGAGAGGCACAATCCATCAAGAAATGAGTATGAACCATCAAATAAACCACAAAAACATGACATTAAGCACTATGTCTTGACAATCTCTAGATCTATAGCATCAATACACATAGACATGCATCAATAATACAAGAAATAGAGACAAACACATGAACATCTATTCTACCATACATAGACATATAGATAGAATGAAATGATCAATTGGAAGTATTAAACCACATAAATCATTGAATAAACAAGATCTATATATATATAAGTGTCAAGACATGAATCACAATACAAATCCCCTAAAAAAAACATAAATCAAGAAGTAGAAAGCATGCTTAGGGCTAACTCTAGTCCCAAGAGGATGTCTAGCCACTCATGGATGATGTCCTCCAACCCTCAAGGGCAAGTTCTATGAAAGAAATTTGCTCCTTAGTTGATAAAGAGTCTCCAATGGTGTCTCTAGTCTCATCATCTTCTTTGCTTTCTCCCTAAGAATTCTCTAAGGTATCATATGATATGATGTATTACAATATGATATGATGTAAAAAGTAATCCTTATCGTAATATAGGTAGGTCAAATGACACCCAAAATGAGCTGGGGTCGTACAACAAATATTCTCCAATGATTGGATAAGGGACAACTTTTTGTGAGCTGAAAATTTAACTTTTTCGCACTGGAGGAAGTTCAATTGATCGAACCTTGGACTTGGATCGATCAAACATGGCTGAGATCTATCGAACTGAAGTTGGATCGATCCTCAATGGCTGTGCCTTTTTGGATAAAAACAAATCTGAGATATTTTGAAGATATTTTTGGGAAAAGGACAAAAGCGGTTGGTAGGGTGGTACAACTGGATAAGATCAATCATTTAGATACGGACAAGAATGTTCGATCGATCAGAGAAGGAAGTTGGATCGATCGAACTTTTGAGATCTTTGAACAGGAACAAACATGGCTCAAATCTATCTTGAAGTGCTGAGATCGATGAAAGTTAGATCGATTGAACTTTTATTGAGATCGATCGAAGTTGCTGAAATTCCACCATTTGCTTCATTTTTGCTCTACTTTGCTCATTTCTTTGATTCATCCTAGAATTGCTTCAATTATGCTCTTATTTGGCTGAGTTAGCTTATTTTGGGGATAAGTACCTGAAAATGGAAATAACACGAAATCAATACAAAACGGTAAAATAAGATAGATAAAGGTTCTAGAATATTCAAGCTTAAAAGGTTTAAACACGCACTTTTCAGCACTCATCACACCCCCAAACTTAAATATTGCTAGTCTC